ATACCCCCCATGGAGATGACAACCACTTACCTCTGGTGGTGGCATCACCCAGAACGGGGCAATTTTGGACTCCACACCAGGGTTGCCGTGATAGTAGGGTCCTGGATGGGTGGGAGGGGACACAGATGGGGCTGACACAAGAGGGGTGACAGCAACCCCAGCACCCCCAGGACCACGGGGACAGGTTTGTACCACAGATGAGGGCCAGGCAGGGCTGGAAGCCGTTCCCACTCCCCTGCAGCTTGAGCTGATAATCCATCTGCGCATGCAGCGAGGGCAGCGCGGGGCCGAAGGGGTGGCTGTGGTACCAGCCCACCAGTGACAGCCCCCGCAGGAACAAGCTCTGGCAGATCTGGGATGGGTGGATATCATGGATTTGGGGTCTTCTGGGACCCTCAGAACCTCCCCCCACCAGAACCCTGCAACTGGTTTTTACCTCCTCCTCCACGGCACCAGCAGCCTCGGCATCACCCAGACGGGTCCGGCACGGGAAGGCTCTCAGCACCGTCAGCACTGCGTGGTGGGGGGGACACAGGGGTGGGTGGCTCTGCCAGGGGCTGGGTGGGCTACTCACCCACCCCCACACACACCCACGCCACTACCTACGCTGTGTGTTGGTGTCCCACCGCCCACCCAGGTAGCCCACCACTTCGCTCCGCGTCAAATGGCTGTGAAAATCCTAAAGGAAAAGGTTAAAATCAATCGTTTGGCCCCAAAAATGACACCAGGGACATCTCCATCCCTGTGGGTGTCCCCAGTGCCATCAGAGATATCCCAACCTGTCCCCTCCCAGGGAAGGGACGCACCAGGAGGAGGAGGACGTTGCTGGAAATGGCCACGTTGAAGGGTTGGAACTTGTTGATGGCAGCAAAGGACGTCACCTCTACCAGGGTCTGGGGGCTCCTGGAAGAGCCGCAGCCGTCCCCACCCCTCCTGCACCCGTGGGGCCGGTGGTGGCACCCGTGGGGCTCGGGTCCCTGTCACACCCTACCTGGCCGAGTCGCGGGTGCCCAGGGTGCAGTAGCGGACGGGCACCCGGGCTTTAGTCTCCAGCCTTTTCCCTGGGGGGCCGGGGTCTGCGAAGGACAATGTCCCATCACCACTGCTGGGCTGCCCAGGGTCACCCAGGACCCCTGTCCCACGTTATCCATCATGGCTGGGCTGACCAAGGTCCTCCAGGACCCCTGTCCCACCTTGCCCGTCCCTTCTGTTGAGCTGCCCAGTGTCCCCCAAGACCCACCAGTCCCACCTTCCCTGTCCCCACCACTGGGCTGCCCAAGGTCCCCCAGTACCCTTGTCCCACCTTACCCATCCCCTCTGTTGAGGGTCCCCCAGGACCCTTGTCCCACTGCTGGACCCATCACTGCTGGGCTGCCCAGCATCCCCTGAGACCCCCCCCAGTCCCACCTTACCTGTCCCCACCACCGGGCTGCCCAAGGTCCCCAAGACCCCTGTACCACCCTACCCGTCACCGTTGGCTCAACCAGGCTCTTGCACTGCTGCTTCTTGCTCCTCTCCTCTGGTTTTTTGGTGACCACCAGCTCCGGCACAGGCACCCGACCTTCCTTCGTCACCTCCTCCTCTTCCTCCTCAGGCATCTCCTCCTCCTCACCCTCACTGGCCAGGCTCTGCGGGCAGCACAGGGCTGGCACCCACCCCACCACCCATCTAGGTGACACCTGAGGGTGGTGGAGTTGGGGTTCCCTGACCCACCTCCTCGGCGGGCGGCGCGTTGGGCTGGTGTTTGCGTAGCCAAGCGGCTTTGTACTGGTCCAGCTTCTGGCCCTTGTAGCGCACGGACGCCCAACCGCACCCCGACTTCTTGGCGGGGTTCACCAGGCGCTTGCAGTGGGTGGCCCAGGCGCTGGGCGAGTTGAAGACCTGTCCTGTCTCCTGCCAGGTGATGGTCCCATCTGCCCCCAGGTCCCCCACGAACTTCTTGCCCTGGGAAGAATGGGGTGAGGTGGGAGGCATGTCTCCTGTCCCCCATCCCTGTCCCCATCCCATGTCCCACATCCTTGTCACCCATCCCTGTCCCCCATCTCTATCCCCTTGCCCTCCATCCCTGTCCCCGTCCCATGTCTCCCATCCCTATTCCCTTGTCCCCCATCCCTGTTCCCCATCCCTGTCCCCATCCCTGTCCCCATCCCTCTCCCCATTCCATGTCCCCCATCCCTGTCTCCCATCCCTGTCACCCATGCTTGTCCCCATCCCTGTTCCCCATCCCTGTTCCCCATCTCTGTCCCCCATCCCTATCCCCATCCCATGTCCTCCATCCCTGTCCCTCATCCCTATCCCCTTGTCCCCATCCCTGTCCCATGTCCCCCATCCCTGTCACCCATCCCTGTTCTCCATCCCTGTTCCTCATCCCTGTTCCCTATCCCTGTCCCCATCCCTATCCCCTTGTCCCCATCCCTGTCCCCTGTCCCCCATCCCTGTCCCCATCCCTGTCCCCTGTTCCCCATCCCTGTCCCTCATCCCTATCCCCTTGTCCCCATCCCTGTCCCATGTCCCCCATCCCTGTCACCCATCCCTGTTCTCCATCCTTGTCCCCCATCCCTATCCCCATCCCATGTCCTCCATCCCTGTCCCTCATCCCTATCCCCTTGTCCCCATCCCTGTCCCATGTCCCCCATCCCTGTCACCCATCCCTGTTCTCCATCCTTGTCCCCCATCCCTATCCCCTGTCCCCTGTTCCCCATCCCTGTCCCCATCCCATGTCCCCATGCTGGCCAGGCTCACCAGGTAGTAGATGGAGAGGACACCACGCGCCGGCTCGAGGAGCCCATCACGGAGCAGGACGCGGAGGGTGATGCCACGACGGGTGAGCACGGCCCCCCGGGTGCCCCCCGCCACCTTCACCCCACTCCCACCCTCCACCTCGGCCTCTGCCTCATCCAGCCCCGGCTCCAGCTCGTCCTCATCCTCCTCCAGGCACTCGTCCCCAC